AGACTCGCTCTGTCGCCCAGGCTGGAGTGCAGTGGTGTGATCTTGGCTCACTGTAACCTCTGCCTCCCAGGTTCAAGCAATTCTCCTGCCTCAGCCTCTAGAGTAGCTTCAGACTACGGGCACACACCGCCATGCCCAGATAATTTTTTGTATTTTACTAGAGACAGGGTTTCACCATGTTGCCCAGGCTGGTCTCCAACTCCTGAGCTCAGGCAATCCTCCTGCCTCAGCCTCCCAAAGTGCTAGGATTACAGGTGTGAGTCGCCACACCCAGCCTCATTTTTTTTTTTTTTAAGAGTCTCACTCTGTCCCTGATTCTGGAGTGCAGTGGTGCTATCTCGACTTACTGCAACCTCTATGTACTGGGCTCAAGCGATTCTCATGCCTCAGCCTCCCGAGTAGCTGGGACTAAAGGCGTGAGCCACCACACCTTTTAGTAGACATGGGGTTTCACCATGTTGGCCAGGCTGGTCTCGAACTCCTGACTTCAAATGATCCACCCACCTTGGCCTCCCAAAGTGCTGGGATTACAGATGTGAGCCATGGCACCTAGCCAAAAAGTACATTTTAGATAGTAAATATGTTTGATTCAATTTGTTTGTCTCTAAAGTTGTTTTTTTCTTCAGCTTCTCAAATACAGATTGTATTGGGGAAACAGAGGCAGCATAATAATGCATCCTCTGTATTTCACAAGATTATAGGATGAAAGGCAAAAACTGTTCTTTATTCCATCTGTTCAGGCCATTATAATAAACATGATAGTCATTCGACAGCACATGAGTATGTTGTGTGCACAAGATTCTATCCCTATCAACCTCCCTCCCAATAATAGTGATCTGATTAGCATATTCTCTTAATCCATAAAAGTTGCACTTTGCTCCCCAGTTCTTCAAAAAGAAGAAAGTACAAGTTTTGAATTAAAACAGCTTTCCTACGTATCTGAATTTTTCTTAATTAAAAAAAAAACGGATTCGAAGGATTTCTAGGATCATTGGGAAAAAAAAGACGTGAGGGAATTTGAGCACATTAAATAATTTTGAGCAAAGCAAAGACCTTAGAACATAATCAAGGCTAAATCTGATAGTGTATACAGGGATAAGGGGCCATCATAATCTTTAAAACAGCAGGACCCTCCATCTGTGCACACTGAAGAGGGTGTATAACTGGAAGTCTTGACAAGAGATAAGAAGGAATCTGGTTTTTCATCGAATAATGACAAAGCTTTAGATCTTGGAGCTCTCCTACTTTAAACCTTTCACTTCACAGATAAAATAGTTGAGGTCCAGAGAGAAGTAATCTGCCTGAAGTCGCACTGCAAGTTTGTATCAAAAGTGGGATTAATAGTCACGTGTCCAAACTTCCAGTGTTTTTTCCATTATTTCACATTTCCTCCTTATTTGACTTATTTTGGCCATCCATATAAAAGCACTGGGCTTGGGAATACTATGTTTAATAAGGACTAAACTCGGAGTCCTTGCCCTGCTAGATGTTTAAACTCTCAGTTAACAAAGATCTTATGGGAAGCAGCTTAAAAAAAGCGGACCTTGAAACTTCCTGGGGAACTTTTCTTTGTCAAATGGGAAGATAACTCTGTACTGCCTACCTCACAAGGCTGTCCTAAAGTGCAAATGAAATAATGAACGCTAACGTGTTGTGTAAACCTTCCCACGAAGGGAGATTATGGGCACTCAAGTTGCCGTTAGAGGAGCTTTTGGTCACAGAAGGTCATTCGAGTCAGGCCACCGACTCACAATGACAGTCGGCTTTACTCGTCTGTAAAATGGAGACAAGAGCAATTGCCACCCCCACCCTAGGTGGTAGTGAGGTCTGAGCCGAAAGACGCAGAGCACAACGTGAATGAAGACGGTTATTCGCTGCCCCGGTCGCGCCTCCTCACCTTCTGCACCTGCTCTGCGAGCGCCACGAGGTCTAAGGGGTCCCCGGCCCGGTGGGTGTGGTAGGGGCTCACCAGGGCCAGGCCGCCGGGGGTCGGGGTGAGCTCCACCAGGGCTCCTGCGACACACAGCCAGGAACAGGCCGTGAGCTCCCGCCCTCGGCCTCCCGCGGAGCCCCGAGACCGGCTGCCTCGCTGGGGCTGACTTCCCCTCGCTGACTCCCGCCCCGCATACCTCCCTGGCCTGCAGCTGGCTGCGGTCCTTGGCTTTCAAGGACCCCCTCGGTCCTCCCGAGCGCTGCGGCGTCCTCCATAACAGCGACTTATCCTCCCCACTCCCTGGGCGGTGCGAGTCGGGAGAGCCTGCGCATAAAGGCGCGTGGGCGGAGCTTCCGTATTTCTTGTCCACTGGGCTTCAGAGCGACTGAGCAAAGCCTGAGCTCGGAGGCGGGGCTCCGGCTGACGCGCCGGGATTCGCTGAGGGCCGGTGGGGGTATCTGGGTTGACTGAAAGGAAAAGAGGCGGTGCAAGCCCCGTGGGCATGCGCCGCCCGGCTTGGGAGGTGGGGCTTCGCCCGGGGGCGGGCCTTCTCCGGGGGTGGGACTCCGGCCTCCGTGTCGGGTGGCTATCGGTCCCGTTAGGTCTGAGGAGACGATGGCGGCACGCGCGTTGAAGCTGCTGAGCACACTGCTGGCTGTCGTGGCCGCTGCCTCCCAAGCCGAGGTCGAGTCCGAGGCAGGATGGGGCGTGGTGACTCCTGATCTGCTCTTCGCGGAGGGGACCGCAGCCTATGCGCGCGGGGACTGGCCCGGGGTGGTCCTGAGCATGGAACGGGCGCTGCGCTCCCGGGCCGCCCTCCGCGCCCTTCGCCTGCGCTGCCGCACCCGGTGTGCCGCCGACTTCCCATGGGAGCTGGACCCTGAATCGCTCCCCAGCCCGGCCCAGGCCTCGGGCGCCGCAGCCCTGCGCGACCTGAGCTTCTTCGGGGGCCTCCTGCGCCGCGCCGCCTGCCTGCGCGGCTGCCTCGGGCCGCCGGCCGCCCACTCACTCAGTGAAGAGATGGAGCTGGAGTTCCGCAAGCGGAGCCCCTACAACTACCTGCAGGTCGCCTACTTCAAGGTGCAGACCAGCCCGGAGCCGGGCGGCCGGGATCCTTCTGGGGAGAGGAATGTTGCAGGGGACCTGGGGAGCCAGGGGGATCGGGGAAGTGTCCGCAGGGAGGGGAAAGCGGCCTCCTGGCTGGGGAGCTCTCCTCGGAGCCGGGGAGAGCTGCTCCCTGGCAGGAGACCTTCCTCGCCCAGTTCGCATGGGCAGTTGCTAACCCCAGAGGTCCAGCCTGGGGTTAGGGCACAGGCCAAGCAAAACTCATGGCCATTTTGTTCCCTGGGAAATCTCCTGCAGGGAATTAAAGCGGTAGTTTGGGTCTCCCATCCTAATGTCATTTTAAGTGTCCGACTGAGAAGCTAGTAGCGGTCTACAATATGTTCCTTCCGGTTGGTTTTCCAGTGGTGCTTTTCCTGCTGTTTGATTCAGCAGCTCTGTTTCAGGATGTGAGGTTGCCACGTCGCCAGCAGGGGCTGCCTGGCCCTGCCTGTCGGGGGGACCCTCTGGCTAGTCTGTCAGGTTTACAAAGAACATGAGTATTTTTAGGAATGCCAGAATGCCATGTTTTCAAGTGTACACTTGGGCTTGGAGCGTTCCAGGCTTGTTTGGTGGTGGTGATGGTTTCGATGATGATGATAATGATGATGATGATGGATGATGATAGCCAGCGCGTACTTCAGGCAGTATTTTAAGCAGTTTGCCTTTATTAACGCATTTGCCCTAATCTTCACAATATCCTGTCAGGTAGATGCTGTTATTAGTCCCGCTGTATTGGGGGTGGGGGGAGAAAGAGCTGTGCATTATATCTGTTATATCTGTAGTTTAAAAGACCTTCGATTCGACCTAAAGAGAGACTGAGAGACTCTTGGGGACCTCAGATTTCCACCCCTCCACAACATTCTGCCTACACAGTTCCCTTCATTTTTCCTAGTTACTCGGAAGAGCGCTGGACTTGAAATCAAAATAATTGCATTATGTCTTTGGTTATGTCGCTTCATCATAGCACTTTCTAAAATTATTTGACAAATATGTATTGCATGCCTACTGCATTCCAGTTCTTGTACAGGTACTTAAATGCTCGACTAACATTTTTGCTTTGTCTTGCTTTGATGTTAAGAGTTACTGTAGTAAGGGATACTGCAAGGGCATATACTTAGGGCTGTGGGAGCACAAAGGAGGGAGACTCTAGCTTTATCTCAGAGAAATTAGACTTCAAAGAAGAGGTAATATTGAAGCCCGTCCTAAGTATTGTCAGGGGGAGAGGAAGGAAGGCTCCTCCAGATAGAGGGAAAAGTAGAACCAAAGCATGATGTATTCAGGAAAAAAAAAGAATTGTTGCGATTGCAATGTCGAGGTGTGTGTGGGGAGTAGTAGGAGAAGAGGCTAGAATGGTCACTGAGGCCAAATTTGGAAGAGAATTCTGCGGACTGCAGGGAGCCATCCTCAGATTTGGGTTTTAAAACACTCATTCTGGAAACCATGGTGAATGAGCCTTGGAAGAAGGAGAAACTGGTGGCACATGATTAGGAGACAGGCATTTGTCCACAAGAGAGGAGGTTAAGTACCTCAGTGCTTAGGGAGTAAAGAAGACTGGGGGTGGAGAGAGGAGTGAGGACATGAGGGAGAACAGAGACAGGCAGGAGCAGTGCTGAAAGATATAAGAGATAGAGTAATTCCATAAAAGGGACAGACCTGAGAAAATTTCTAATTTTACAGTTAAAGAAACTGAGGTACAGAGATGGGGAGTTATTTACCTTGGGTCACCTAACCAGGGCTGACTCCTTTAGTGTGCCTTTACTAGTACCAGTGATAAGGAAATAAGTTTTCTTAGCATATTAATCATACCATCTAAAATTTATGGAGCACTTGATCTGTGCCCAGCACCATGTATTACAGGCTGCATGTATATTATCTCTTTGAACTCTCAACAATGCTAGGAGATAGCTAGAGAATGCTATCTCCAGATGATAGATTAGGGAAACTGAGTTTAGAAAGTAAACTTTAAATATCTTGTCTACTGCCCAGCCAGTCAGTGAGTCATTAAGCCCAGATTTGCTGCTGGCCGGTCTCTTTTCTTTTTCTTTTTTTTGAGACAGAGTCTTGCTCTGTTGCCAGGCTGGAGTGCAGTAGCGATCTTGGCTCACTGCAACCTTTGACTTCCTGGTTCAAATGATTCTTCTGCCTCAGCCTCTCGAGTAGCTGGGATTACAGGCACATGCCATCACACCCGGCTAATTTTTGTATTTTTAGTAGAGACGGGGTTTCACCATATTGGCCAGGATGGTCTCGATCTCCTGACCTCGTGATCCGTCCTCCTTGGCCTCCCAAAGTGCTGGGATTACAGGCATGAGCCACCATGGCTGGCCCTCTTTTCTTTTCTTTTTTTTTTGAGACGGAGTTTCGCTCTCATTACCTAAGCTTGAGTGCAGTGGTGCGATCTCAGCTCACTGCAACCTCTGCCTCCTGGGTTCAAGCGATTGTCCTGCCTCAGCCTCCTGAGTAGCTGGGATTACAGGCGCATGCCACCACGCCCAGCTATTTTTTGTATTTTTAGTAGAGACGGGGTTTCACCATGTTGGTCAGGCTGGTCTCAAACTCCTGACCTCATGATCCGCCCACCTCAGCCTCCCAAAGTGCTGGGATTACAGGCATGAGCCCCTGTGCCTGGCCATGGCCGGTCTCTTTGATACCAGTGTCCACACAGTTAATTACTAGATCATCAGTGATTTATTTGGTTGGATTCTATATATGAAACCTGTGTTGCTTTGATATGCTGGAGTCCATTGCTGTGGGTATTGTTGTAGTCTGTAGCCTATTTCTTTCTCCCCCTTGGATTGCTTTTTTTTTTTTTTTTGAAACGGAGTCTCACTCTGTCACCCAGGCTGGAGTGCAGTGTGGCGATCTCAGCTCGCTGTAACCTCCACCTCTCTGGTTCAAGCGATTCTCCTACCTCAGCCTCCCAAGTAGCTGGGATTACAGGTGTGCGCCACAACACCCAGCTAATTTTTGTATTTTTAGTAGAGACGGGGTTTCATCATGTTGGCCAGGCTGGTCTCAAACTCCTGACCTCAAGTGATCTGCCCCCCTTGGCCTCCCAAAGTGCTGGGATTACAGGTGCAAACTGCCACCCCCGACCAACCCCTCAGATTTCTTAGACCTATTTGTTTGAACCTCATGAGCCCTGAGCTTTGAGTCAGAAAGTACATGTCTGGACTTAGTAAAGGACCTTAGAATTTTTAGCCATCCACATTTTCCCTAAATGTCTCAAGAATGCTTCATTTTATTTTATGCAAAAAAAAAAAAAATTCTAGGAAAATTCTTAGGCATAGTCTGTTAGCTGCTCTTCTTTCTCTACCCCTAAATCCTTGAAGCCACAGAATTTTTTCAGGTCAGGCATTACATTTGAATCATGAAATATATATATGTATTCTTTTTTTTTTTTTTTGAGTCAGGGTCCTGCTCTGTCACTCAAGCTGGAATGCTGTGGCACCATCTCGGCTCACTGTAACCTCTGCCTCCCAGGCCCAAGCGATCCTCCCACCTTAGCCTGCAGAATAGCTGGGACTACAGACATACAGTACCATGTAATTTTTGTATTTTTTGTAAAGACAGGGTTTCACCATGTTGCCCAGTCTGGTCTTGAACGCCTGAGCTCAAGTGATCCACCTGCCTCGGCCTCTAAAAATGCTGGGATTACTGATGTGAGCCGCCGCGCCCAGCATGAAAACATATCATATGGGCAGTCAGTCTTTCACAGCACTCCCCATACAATATGACCTTTGTTTTAAAATAGAACATTGCTACTTCCTATAATCTGGGGAACCCCTAAATCTGACTTGGGAAAGAGCTACAAATCTGCCCAGGGCACTGTGCTCCTAATCTCTGGTGGGTAGTTCCTGTAATAGGTGTGCTTCTTGGGGCTGGCAGGGCTGGGCATGCTGAGTGGAGGGCTCGGGGAGCAGGGATTTCCTGTTTATGTAGACTGCTCATGTGGACACAAACATTCAGAGTTTGGATGTGAGCATTACCTTCTCATGCTTCGTTCTTAGATCAACAAGTTGGAGAAAGCTGTCGCTGCAGCACACACCTTCTTCGTGGGCAATCCTGAGCACATGGAGATGCGGCAGAACCTAGACTATTACCAAACCATGTCTGGAGTAAAGGAGGCCGACTTCAAGGATCTTGAGACTCAACCCCACATGGTGAAAAAAACTTTATCCCCTTCTTTCTCTCTTTCTTTTTAAGTTTATTTTAGAGACAGAGTCTTGCTCTGTCAC